GGAACAGGACAAGGGTAGGGAGTAGTAGGGAAGTGTGAGATAAAGTTAAGATCAAACTGGGATTTGGGGTGCCAAATACAATGTAAACGCATGGGACACTGAAATGCCTGACCATGTGAAGCAGACTAGGTCAGACTCTAGCTCCCATTAAGGATTACAAGCCTATGCACACCCCACAACACAGGAAGTGATATAGATGACAGGATGGGCAGGGGGAGGGGAAGGAGGAAGTCCTTGGAGATAGCTATGATGGGACAATGAAGCCCAGCTCTAGTAGAGGAGGAGAGTGCTTACTACAGGAAGAGTGAGAATGGAAGATGGAGAGCATCTTCTTCTGCTTACCTGGAATTGGCTTGCAGGATTTACCAAGGACCTGAAATTAAATTCAGCAAATAATTTAGGAGTATCTGTGATGGGCCAGGTACTGTGCTAGGTGCTGGGGTGAGAAAGATGAGTAAGTGTGGGGCTTGCACCAGGGACCTCAGCCTCAGAAAGCAGCCCTATTACAGCCTGACCCACCACTACTAAACCAGAGTTCTGTGGTTTTACACCCTCTGAACTTCTCAAACACACTCTTCTAGGGTTGTTTGCTCTTTCTATAAGTCACAGACCTGAGGAAAGAAGTCTTAGTCCTTTTCAAACAACTTCTGAGCCAACCCTCATCCCACCTTGAGGTTTCACCTGGGTTGGGTAGTTGACAAACTGTAGTGCTGAGTTGCTGGAGACCATCGCACCCAGATAGGAGACAGAACAGGCAGCATAGAGCCAGCTCCGGGTACGATCCACCCTGGCAGTGTCAAAAAACTGGATCACTGGGAGAAGAGAAAAAAACATAGAAGAGAAACCTGGCGGGGCTAGGATGGACCACTGAGCAAAAGTCGAAGGCGCGTGAAAGGAACTTGTTTGTCAAATAGGATGAGAGGCTCCCAAAGAGCACAAGCTATTTCTGTCCTCTTAGACCGGAAAATTTCTGAACATTATTCAACTCTTCAATCCCACCTAAACCTAACACAAGACTACATGCAGGGGGCGAGGGGATGTCATTCAGTCCAAGGGACTAATTAGCCCTGGTACTAGCCCCAGTGAATGAGAGAAAATGCAAAACATAAAGTCAAAGGGACAAAGAAAAAAAAATGTTTTTAAGTATTCTCAGCGGGGATTTGGAACACAGAAGACCCATTTTCTACACATTTCTGACTCAGAAGTTGCTTTAATTTAAGGAAATATGGTTTTACCCTGTTCCGAAGCCATTAGTTTTATAGACCATACAGAGCTCGTGTAAGCACTAAATGGGGTGGGGGCTGTGGGAATTAGACACTAAGGCTGAATTACCATCACTGCCTAATGCTCCGGATTCAAAGGGGTGGGGGCACACATCAGGTACTCTCTAGGTACTCACAGATCTTGGCAAATACACCATTGATCACACATTGGATGAAGACCAAAGTTAAGGCAAAGGTGAATTTCTCTTGCTTGGCTCCCTCCCCATACTTTCCTCTTGTTCTAAGAATAAAACACAGGAGAAAAAGAAGGGAGGAATTAGTATATTTCCTTCGCTGTCATATAGTATGCCTAGATCTTTGAACTTATCTTGCCTTTCTGCACGTGGGGAGAGTTTGATAAGGAACCCTCTCCTCATCTACAAAAGGGGATGATTTTATTGGATCTAAAAACTAGACATCCCAGTCTGCTGATCTCCTAGCTTAGGAGTAAGAATACCCATAAAGGATGGAGCTGAAAAAACATGAAAAATTAGACGGTGAAACCAGGACCCCAGGCAGAAGGAATTTAGGGCGGAATAATCAGCTATCTGCAGGTACCAAGGAGTTCCAAAGAAGAGCTGGCCTACGTCAAGCAGGCCTGTTTGGGTGTAGAAATCTCAGTCTGTAAAACTTTAGGCCCTTAGAACCAACAGAGGAAATAGCAGATAAGGGAAGAAAAAGAACCAGGGCTCGAGAATCCAGAGACCAACCCTCGCATTTTGGAATTCTGAGGAGGCTCAGCCCCGGCTGCAGAAGCAGCGGGGTGCTGGGAGGGCCGAAAAGCCGGTGTGAAGACAAGAGGAAAGCCTGGCGCCAGAGGCTGGAGGTCCGCAAACGGGGCCATAGGTTGGAGAGATGGCGGCGGGATTGGGGAGGTGGTGCTGCGTTCCAGCCCCGGGGATCCGCTCACATCTTTTCTTGCAGTATCCCATAGTAGAAATAGCAGACAAAGACACCCAGGAAGCAGAGCGGCAGGCGCAGCCGGTCGGGTACCAAAGAGCTGCTAGCGGCCATGAGACGCCGGGACGAGCCGACTGGAACTCCACTCACAGCCGGCAGCGGCAGCGGCGGCGGCGACAGCTCCAGTCGGACATCGCCGACCGGCGGCAGGGGCTTCATAGGAGCTGCATGCCACAGTCGCACTGCAGGGCCCAGCAGCCACAGCCAGAACTGCCTGTTTAGGGTGGCCGAGGGGGAAACGCCTCAGAACCCAGCAGCTGCTTCCAAGAAAAGAAGATTTGCCCTGGGGCCTTGACTCCATGCCCCGTTTCCCAGGGAGCCGGCTGCCCGAAGGCTAATGCCTCGCCCTCCAATTTTTCCGATCAGGCAACTCCGAGAACAACTGCAACCCAGATCCCGAAGGGGTGGCCTAGGAGGTGCCCGGGCGTGGAGTGATGACGTATACAGATGTGGAGGTCGCCAATTGGCGGCGCTGGGCGAAGGCAGACAAGTGGGTGGAGAAGAAGAGGTACAGCCGGACGAGCAAATTCAAGTCTATTTCCCGGTCGGCGGTCAGTCTTCTTCTGGGTCCTAACTCCAAGAAACTCTTCATGGCGCATCAACGCCCTCTAGCTGCTGCCCAGCGTCAGCAAACGACGCTACCCCCTCAGCTTTACCAGTGAGAGCGTTCAACGCCTGACTTTGAAAGCATTCCCTCCTCCCCTGGCACAGATCTAGCCTTTCAAGGAGGAGAGCAGCACAGTAAGCCTCTCCTAGATCAGGGCTCTTATGTCACTTAAAGGCAGGACAACCTCCGCGTGTCCTTAAAATTCTGAGCCAGTTTTCCCAGTCTATAAACTAGGGATAATTCGTAATAGCCACTTGTCTGCCTCTTGACTGTTTTGAGGATCAAATGAGCTGAGGTTTGTGAAAGTGTTTTATAAACTGTAAAGTGTGCTGTGCAGGTTTAACGTATTATTATTAGTCATTACTCTTTCTCAACTCCGATTTTATTTCCTCACGTCCTAGAGGTGGAAATGGAAGCCTGTTGAAGCGATTTCTCTTCAAGGTCTTACAACTCACCAACGATGGAGCAAACACTCTGGCTTTCTGCCAGATTCTTCCCCGTTAATGAGCTCCTTGTTGGACACCTTCCTCATCCAAGCGTTGTGCTTCCACCTGCGGGCTCAGAGCTAGAACACCACTGACCTCAGGTCATTAATACTCCCCCAAATAATAATAACTTGCCCAAATCATAGACTGCCTGTTAGACTCTGGGCTGCTGTCTGGGTAGACGCTCCTCTTCTTGCAGCCCGCTCCTTTGGCACAGCTTCAGGCAAAGGAAGGAAGCAATGGGCAGCACCACACCCATCACTCCAAGCCTGACTCACTAAAGGCTTTGGGTCAGGCCAGACTTATCTTTCAGGGGGGAGGGGTAAGAGACAGAAGATAGATAGGATCTGTCCTCACTGACGTCTCCTTTATGTTAGTGAGGGAGAGGGATGGCTACATTTGTTCTCTTGCCCCGTGGTTTACTCCACTGAATGAGCCCATGATTCCAGGGTACGGAGCAGCAGCAGGGGTGAGAGGGGCAGACACCTCTTTGGCCAGCAACCAAGCAACCTAGGTTCCAGGCCCAGCTCTGCCTCTTCCCAGCTGGGCTCTCAAACAGTTCACTTGACTTCTGGATCAAGTTTCCTCACCTGAAAGTAGTGGGAATATCTTAACAAATATGGGCAAGCAGGAGAGTGCTGTGGTTAGAAGCGTGAACACTGCATTCAGATTACCTGGTTTCCAATGCCAGCTCCTCCACTTCATATCCGTGTGTCTCTTGGGGAAAGTTATTCAATCTTTCTGCCCTTCCCCCATCAGTACAGTGGGACTTAGCACATTTCTTTCTTTGGGTTGTTGTGATATTTCAGTGACATTTTATGTAAAGCACTTAACACAGTACCTGGTACTTTCCAAGCCAATGAATGGTAGTTGGAATACACTGGTTTAGGAGTTTGTTGTGAGGTCTTAAGAGATAGATACATGTGAATGTGCTTCCGAAACTATGGAATACTATACAATTATAGTTATTATGACTGCTCTTGGGGCAGTCAACTTTACTTATACAATGGGGATAATGTGTCTTTTGTGAAAATGCTTTCTAAATTCCAAGGTGCCATCAGAATGTTGGCATGGTCATTCCCATTTTCCCTCAAAGCCTAAGACCTCTTACAGGTGCAACACTGAAAAGCTGAGAGGCTGCAAAAGGACAAGGCTACCCACCACCGCTGCACACTGTGTTGTGGGTATTCAGGGAAATAGGAGATAAAAAGAATACCCAAAAGGAGCTAAAGCTTCCCCAAAACTGTGTGAAGAGATTCAAGGTGAATGCCATTCTCTGGTCTCATTCCCTTTGCCAGTGCTAGGAACGTCCACAATGTCAAACTGTCTCCCCTTGGTGACCCTCATTTCCTGTCTGAAATCCACTTTCCACAGGGAGCTTTTCCAGATTCACCCAAGAATAGATGACTTCCCCACCCCACCTCCAGGACACACTGCATTCTTCTTTCTGGACAGCCTTCTCATAGATGTGCTGTGCATATGTCCGTGTAAAGAGTCCAAGCCTAACAGCCTGAGGACAGGGACTCCATGCCCATCCATCCAACACCCAGATCCACATAATTATGTGTTAATTAAAGGCTCTTTCCCTTGAAGGCAAGGATGAAATGATCATTACAATACCCTCAATTTCCACCCCCTTCCCCTCCACTCCCAGAACAAAGATTTAACAGAACCTCATGCTGCTGGGAATACTTATTTATTTATTTCGTCTATTAACACCAAGATCTGCAAAAAACAATCTCTAAACACAGGATAAGAAAACTTGAACATTAACATTCTTCTTCAATTTTTGTGTAAGCTCTGCAGTACGGAAAATATACAAACTTCAAACAGCTGCAAAAATAGTGTCTTTGGGAGAAAATAGTTTCTATATCGATACAAGAAAAATAGGCATTTTTCTAATCCAACCCAGACCTGGAAGAGTGGTGGGTGTAGTCGCCACTTGCCACCCAGACAAATGCCAGCTCTCCCTCTCCCCCACTACCCACCTGGGGCTGGGCAGGTTGGGCTGCTGCTGAAGACAATCTTTAGTCAGGGTGAAAGCGAGATGAAAATGCCACTTGGGAAAACCCTTGGTTCCCCCCTCTGTCAGCAGCTGAACTGGTCAAGTGTTATGGCCCTTTAGGGCTGCTTTGGTCAGCACCTCCAATGAGAGGGAGCCATGGGGATGGGGCTGAGGATGGGGGTATCTATCTTCTGGTCTCTTCTGTGTGTGTGGAGGACAGGAATGGGGATCTGTGGCATCCCCTCTCCTTCAATCACGGCCAGCTTGCTCTATGACAAGGACAAGGGCCTCATATACAGTCCTTTGGACTCACGCCTAGGGGTGGGGGACTCAAGACCTTCTAGGTGAGTTTTCCACCAAGTGAGGGAGGTGGCAGAGACACAGGTGTGAGTTGTGAGCTGCCTGGCTGCTAGTGGAGAAGGCAGGTCCCCTCACATTAGGAGGGACCGGTGTCCATCAGAAAGAGAACCCAGGGCTTTGACACGATAAATGAAAGTGCTCAAAGGCCGAGAGGAAAGGGCTCCTCCATCCCCCATCTCAGGGGGGTTAGGGAGAGAGGCTGCCACCAAGGCACTGGTCTCCATGGTACAGTGGTGGGGGTGGGGACCTCAGACCACCAGGGAGCTCTGGAAAAGCACGGACTCGTCTGATGGTGGGGTACGCTGCCATGGCTCGAACGGCAGTGGGGAGGCCTTAGAGGCCTCTGGATCCTTCCGAGGAGGTGGCCTGGGGCTGGTCGGGGGAAGGGGAGACCCCGGGCTTGAGGGGCAATTACGGAAGATGAAGCCCATGCTGGGGAAGAGGGGCTTCATCAAGTTGACAGGGCAGAAGGCTGAGCCAGTTGGGTTGAAATGGACTTTGTTCTTGTCAGGACAGGAAGTCAGGAAGGTCAAGTCAGGACCTGGGGACCTGGAGGATGAAAAGAGAGAACACACAGACATACATGTGCACGCGCACACACATACACACACACACACACACACACACACACAGGACAGAGAGAAACAGCCAATGAGAAAGGATGACTGATGTTGCAGTGTCAGGGAAGTAGGGAGTAGGGGAGCTGGGACTCTGTACAAATAGGATGGTAACTTCACCAAAACGTGAAAGGCTACTGGGGAATAAACAGTCTTTAGGCCCCTCAGTTCTCCATTTTTTAGAAGTATGGCTGAACAATGGGAAATATACTTTAGCAAGAAGAGGAGGGATTGAAGTCAGACAGGAAGGAAAACTTCCTGACAATGTGATTCTAGAAGAGACCAAGAGACTTTTTGAGAGATTTCTTCAGTGAAGGGTGTTTTAGGGGCAGAGTACTTGTCTGAAAGCAAATAACTTCTAAGACTCTTTATAGTCTAAAGCAGAGTTCCTCAGCCTCAGCAGTACTGCCATTCTAGGCCAGATAATTCTTTGCTGGGGGGAGGGGGAGGGACAGGTGGTTATCCTGTGCATCACAGAATGTTTAGCAGCATCCCTGCCCTCTAGACACTAGCTATCAATAGCACCCTCCGTCCCCCAAGTTGTGACAACCAAAACGTCTGTAGACATTGCAAAATGACTCATGGGGGCAAAACTGTCCCCTGTTGAACCTCTGGCCCAGAGAATCTAATTGTTGAGCACATTTGAAAGGTGTAATTTTCAAAACCCTTGCGGGGAGGAAAGAATAGCAACAACTGGGAGAAAGGAGATTACAGATTCTAACTAGGTTCTAACTAGGTCTTGGCCTTATCTGTCTCACCTTTAATGTAAAGAGTCATCCCTACCCTTCTGACCACTTAAGGAAAAATGGAAGGATAAAAGGAGACCAGGCCAGAGAGTTCTAGAGTAAAGAATTCTTATGATAAGAAAAGGATCCCTGGTGGTGCGGTGGTTAAGCAGTTCGAACCCACCAGCTGCTCCACGGGAGAAAGATTCGGCAGTCGGCTTCTGTAAATATTTATAGCCTTAGAAATCCTATGGGGCAATTCTACTCTGTTCTATGGGGTCACTATGAGTTGGAATCGACTTGATAGCAACGGCTTAACGGGTATGATAATAAAAGGGGGTGATTGGCCATGCTTACAGGGTGAAACAGCACTGCGAGCTGCTGGTTGGGAGTCTTGCAGGTGAGAAGACAGATATGTGGGAAGATGATGGGGCTCTGTCACCAATGGTTCCCATCGATTACCTTTTGCTTTTTTACCTTTTATTGAAGTATAATATACATACAGAAAAATGCCCTTAGTGTACAGCTTGATGAATCGATTACCACTTTAATTCTAGAATTCTAGAAGAAGAGCAAGTGAGAGGAGGAGGGCAGAGGTCGGCACGGGATGAGAAGGGGTGGATGGAAGTGAGAGGCCCATCTGCTAGATGTATGTGGGAAGGCCTGGGGGTCCTAGAAGACTCCACAGTGACAAGGTATCCCCTGGCCAAGAAAGGTTTAAAAGAATCCCACTTTATGGAGTGTGGGGGGTGGGGGTGGCAGGGAGTGGGGCTGGAAAGGAATGCTCTGGGTGTATGCATGCACACAGGTGTGGAAGGTGACCAATAGGAGACCCAGCACACTCAAAGGATATGAGGGCAACCGGAACAGCTTGAATCCTTCCCTGGGAAATCCAGGTGCTCTTACAGGGGATGGCAGCAAGGAAGAGAAAGTGTGGCAGAAGAACAGCTAACACAAGACAGAGCTTCCCAATAGGAAAGTTGATAAAATAAAGAAACTCCAGTGAGCCTCAGAACTTCTATCCCAGGGTGTCTTAGAAAGAAGTCGATGGATCACCACCTCTCTCAAATGGTTAACACAGAGGCAGAAAGCTAGATGAGATGACTTTAAGACCTCTTCTAGCATTATGAGTCTATGAAAGAATCAAGACAAGCAACAGCCTAATTTCTACACAGGTTGTAATTACTCAGCTATAATATGGATTTGGGGGAGGGTTTAAGAGCCCAGAGTCTCCTTAAGCTACCAGATCTGGCCTTTTCCCTCCACAGCTCCCCACAGGACCCAGGGGTCTTAAAAGGATACTGAGCAACAGAGATGACAGTAACAACAATCCTGGTGGCAGTGGTTTTCTCCTTAATTCCTACTCTGGGTATAATAGTGCTTTCTGTTACCATCATGGGCTGTCCCCTCACTTTTTTGTGATATAGATTGTGCCCTCAAGAACCCAAACCCTGTCCCAGCTAAACCTCCACTCACACACCATGACTAAACTTCCTGACTGCCATTGAAACCACAACTTCCAGTGTGAATCTGCCCTGATGGATATTAGGCTGGCAGGGGGAAATGAAATCTGCTCTTACAGCGCCTGCTAAGTAGGACTGTTTAGGGCATTTGGAAAAGTCACCTCTCAATTTTCCCTGCTAATGGGAGGGAATTGTAGTAAAGAAATAACAAGAATGGCTTCTGAATTATCCAATCTGGTTTGGGAATATTCCAGAGTCCTTACTTGCTAGGACTGGAATTTCTGTCTAGCAGTTCAAGATACTTGAACCACTACAGCCACAGACTTGACTCAGAAGCAATTAGAAAGCTATCTAGGCTCCACCATCCCCCATTGCCATCCTAGGAGGGTGAAACACTTCTAATCTCTGCCTGAAGAGAACAGCTAGTATTCTCTCTGTCTCTCTCAACCTCTCCCTCAGCCCCTCTCTCTCTCAATATTTCTCTCACACGCATTTTTCTCTCATTATGGTCTAGCAAATTCTCACCCTTCCCTGGAGATGGAAAAAAATAGAAGAAACAAAGAGCTTAGGTTTCAGATATCTTTCCTTCTCAGCTCCTGCTGTGCTTGTGGCTGGCATGTGGGCAGAGAGCAGGTTTCTATGGAGATAATGATAAGCAAAGATTTAAGTGCTCAGAGTAGGTAATGTCAACAAGTTTGATCATGGAAAAACCACAACATCGATAACCTAAAGTTGACAACACTTCTATGACCATAGTGTCCAAGACTGAAGAAGGGCCAGCCTGTCAGGTGGGTAATGTAGGGCTGACCCTCCCTCCCTGCCCCTCCTCCCACTCCTTGTAAAGTTGATGTACTCACGTCGCCTCTTCAAATACCCGCACCCTCTCACAGCCTTCTGGGGGCTCCCGTTTGAAGACATAGCTGTGATTGGGCCGAGGGGAGGCAGCAAAGGCAAGGACTGGAGATGGGCTGCCCTCTTCCAGGAAGGCCGGGTGACCTGGAGAGGAGGCTGCAAACAGAGCAAGGCTGAGTCCAGGGAGCTAAGGAAAGTTCTCCACTTTCCTCAGCTTAGGCCTTGGGTGTAAAGGGGTAAGGTAGGGTGACACGGTAAGGTAGGCAGCAGTGGGTATGCTAATCCACTTCATTGTTTATACTCTAAACCAAACCAAACCAGTTGCCATGGAGTCGATCAGGACTCATGGCGATCCCATGTGTGTCAGAGTAGAACTGTGCTCCAAAGGGTTTTCAGTGGCTGGTTTTTCGGAAGTAGATTGCCAGGCCTTTCTTCTGAGGCAACCCTAGGGTAGACTTGAACCTCCAACCTTTTGGTTAGTAGCTGAATGTGTTAACCATGTGCACCACCCAGAGACTCCATTTATACTCTACTCCACCTTAAAAAAAAGTTGAGGCAGCTTACAGATATATATAGACTATAACAAGATTTTTTTTTTTTTTAAAAAAAAGCAATTGAACTGATGGAAAAATAAAGTATAATGCCAATTCTAAATTCCCAGGAGGTAGACTGGAGTTGGAACTCCAAATCTCAGACTAAAAGAATCCCTAACTTCTGCTGCTCTGCCTTCTTCCAAGACTGCAGCACCCCGCCTGCCAACATACCACAGCTTCTTCCTTTCTGCGGCCTTGAAAATCTATCCCTTCTTCCAGGAAGAGCTCTTGTACTGACTCCGAGAAGCAATCTTTACTCAACCCCACTTGTAGGATAAAATTCCTCTCGCTTTCCACACAGCAAGTGTACTTTGCCTAAGCTGCAAATATTGACTTTATCTGTATTTATCTCATATTTATTTCTTATTACTCTATGCTCTGTTTACCTATGTGTATTGTTAGATCATACCCTTGACCAGCCCACCTCACAGGGTTGCTGTGAGGATCACATTAGACTATACAGGCAACAGTGCTTTATACTGTAAGGATCATTCTTATTAGAAGGTAGGAATCACATCTAGTTCTCTTTATGAAGTGGAACAGCAGACAGTAGGGATTTGCAGTCAGAAAACTTGGGTTTCAGTCTCTGTGACCCTGGGCAAGAGACCACTTGCTCTTAATTTATATCATTCACAACCACCTTGAAACCTATTGCTAGAGATGGGGTAGAGTGGAAACCTGAATAGACTTGCTGGCTTTGCACTACAGCATCCTGACACTCTACTTCTGAAAAATCAGTCACTGAAAACCCTACAGAGCACAGTTCTACTCTGACAGACATTACGGGGTCACCAGGAGTTGGCGCTAACTCCACCGCAACTAACAACGACAACGGATGCTGAACCTCCACCAGAAAATGGAGGTATAAGGGGTTGCTTCTGTGGTTTACAGTGAGGATTAAATAAAAACATAGGTCCAGAGACTGTATATACTGTAAGTCAGAAAATAACGTAAAGGAGCGTAATTATTGTTGGTATCGTGCAGAAGAAAGATGACTCATAAAGATATTCTGGTTGGTTAGGAAGTGAAAACACTAGGCCTGAAACTGGTTAGAGTGGAAAAGGCAGTGGAGACTCTCCTGTACCCCATGCCAGCCCTGCTGCCTGGGCCTCCTCAGCTTACCTTTGTCGCTGGGGATGGATGCCAGCTCCTCGACTGCACCCCGGTGCTCCTCGTGGCTGGCGCAGCCAGATGGCTGGGGGGATGCCAGGGGCATGGAGGGAGAGCTGGCCAGGTTGCCAGGCTCCAGGGGAAGGAGGGAAGGATCGCAGCTGCTGCTCTGGGGAGGGGCGGGGGCACGGTGCCCATCGGGGATATCGAGGATCTGACAGGGAAGAAAGTAGAGAAAGCCTCAGTCCTGTACCTTTTCAGGGTACCTTTTCAGTACTGTGGTGAGCCTTATGGTACTCTCCTTGCCATTATTCTTGTCCTCCATACATAGCACACAAGGACAACAGAAACGTCACTTCCTCAAGTCATGTATTTCCCCGACCACCCCCTAATCTGAAGTAGGCCCCTCCTGTTTCTCCCATAGCATCCCGTTCTTTTCCTTCATAATGCTTGTAGCCCAATGTGTAATTACATATTTGCTTGTATGGTTTGATCAATGGGGCACCCCCACTAGGTTATAAGCCTCATGAAGGTGGGGACCTTCTGTGTGCTGGGCTCTGGGAACACAAAGATGAATGACACATGGTGCCTGCATGCTGGGGGCAAACCATGAGGATCCTGTAAGTGATCTAAGCCCCTACAGAACAAGTGTTCAGAGTATCATCTGTATTAATTAATTAATTAAACCCTACCCCCTTTTTTAAACATTCAGTGGTACTTGTACCCAAGGCACACCAAATTGTATGCATGTGTTTGTTTGGGTGTGTATAAAATCCTACATATATCCAAATGAAAAATGAAACAGTAAGTAAATCATAAACTGGGAAGTGTGTCCATCAGAATTACATTATCCTGCCCACCTGGCATTCCCCATTTCTACTGTGTCAGTATAAAAATATGCCATGAGACTGCAGAAATGCTTGCAAATAATTCTGCCTGGGAGTGGGGCAGGGTGGAAAGCTGCACAGGGGCCACTGGGCAGGTAAGGATGAATGCATTTCACCAGGTGGAGATGGAGGGAGTGGAAATGGTGATACAGGCAATGGGGACAGCATGAACTAAGATGCAGGAGGGTGACAGTGGCAAGTATACAGGGAACAGTGAGCTGGTGGTTTGCCTGAATGATGATGCCTAGCCCATTCCTCCCAGCTGGGGACCCTCCTCTCTGCCAATCCTTGCTCCTTTTCTACTTACCACCACAAAGCCTTTCCCAATCACACCTACCCATCTCTGCTGTCCCTGTAGTTAAGTCCTTTTGGGATTAATAAACTCAATTTCTATCCCATTTGTGGGCTCTTGTTTGCATATTGCTCTGTTTATATATCCATGGCCTCTGAGTCCCCAGAGAGCAAGACTCCCATCCCTACCTCAGCTGAGGCTCAGCAAGATCAGGCAGTGCAGTCAGGGTACGATCACACTCACCCTCAGCAGCTCCTCTTCACCCTGTTCCTTCACAAACACCTCCTCCAGCTCTTGGTTGAGCCCTTCCAGGCTTCTGTGCAGGCAGGGGCTAAGTCGCAGGACAGTGGACCCTGAAGGGAAGCTGGGAGGGGACGTCTGAGGGAGGCAAAAGAAGTAATCATGTTAGGCTCCACTTATACAGTTATCAGAAATCAAAGTCTTCTTCATATAATCCAGTTTCTCGGATTATTTGCACAGCATTCAGACTGAATGAGTATGGTGAGAGGATACAACCCTGTCACATGCCTTTCCGGATTTTAAACCATGCAGTAGCCCCTTGTTTTGTTCGAACGACTGCCTCTTGGTCTACGTACAGGTTCCACATGAGCACAATTAAGTGTTCTGGAATTCCCATTCTTCACAATGTTATCCATAATTTGCTATGGTCCACACAGTCGAATACCTTTGCATAGTCAATAAAACACAGGTAAACATCTTTCTGGTATTCTCTGATTTTAGCTAAGATCTGTCGGATATCAGCAATGATATCCCTTGTTCCATGTCCTCTTCTGAATCACGCTTAAATTTCTGGCAGTTTCCTGTCAATGTACTGCTGTATCCATTTCTGAATTATCTTCAGCAAAATTTTACTTGTGTGTGTTATTAATGATATTGTTTGATAATTTCCACATTCTGTTGGATCATCTTTCTTTGGAATGGGCACAAATATGGATCTCTTCAGTTGGTTGGCAAGGTAGCTGCCTTCCAAATTTCTTGGCATAGACAAGTGAGCACTTTAGTGTTGCATCCATTTGTTGACACATCTCCATTGGTATTCAGTCAATTCCTGGAGCCTTGTTTTTCGCCAGTGCCTTCAGTGCAGCTTAGACATCTTCCTTCAATTCCATCGGTTCTTGATCATATGCTACCTCCTGAAATGGCTGAATGTTGACCAATTCTTTTTAGTACAGTGACTGTGTATTCCTTCCATCTTCTTTTGACGCTTTCTGCATCATTCAATATTTTGCCCATTGAATCCTTCAATATTGCACCTTGAGGCTTGAATTTTTTCTTCAGTTCTTTCAGCTTGAGAAATGCTGACCGCGTTCTTCCTTTTTGGTTTTTTAACTCCAGGTCTTTGCACATTTCATTAAAATACTTTGTCTTTTTGAGCCACCCTTTGAAATCTTCTGTTCAGCTCTTTTACTTCATCATTTTTTCCATTCACTTGAGTTACTCTACAATCAAGAGCAAGTTTCAGAGTTTCTTCTGATCTTCATTTTGGTCTTTTCTTTTTTTTCTGTATTTTTATGACCTTTCGCTTTCTTCGTGTATGATGTCCTTGATGTCATCCCAGAACTCGTCTGGTCTTTGGTCATTAGTGTTCAGTGCGTCATTCTTGAGATGGTGTCATGGTTTGAATTATGTCCCCCAAAAAATGTGTGTATCAATTTGGCTAGGCCATGACTCCTGGTACTGTGTGATTTTCCTGTATGTTGTAAACCTGCCTCTGTGATGTTAATGAGTGAGGATGGGTGGCAGTTGTGTTAGTAAGGCAGGACCTGATCTACAAGACTGGATTGTGTCCTGAGGCAATCTCTTGAGATATAAAAGACAGAAGTGAGCAGTGAGAAGGGGGACCTCATACCATCAAGAAAGCAGTGCCGGGAGCAGAGCGCGTCCTTTGGACCGGGGTCCCTGCGCCAAGAAGCTCCTAGTCTGGGGGAAATTGATGAGAAGACTGACGGAGAGAAAAAGCCTTCCCCTGGAGCTGACACCCTGAATTTGGACTTTCAGCCTACTTTGTGAGGAAATAAACTTCTCTTCGTTAAAACCATCCACTTGTGGTATTTCTGTCATGGCAGCACTAGATAACTAAGACAGATGGTCTCTAAATTCAGGTGGGATAGATATACTCAAGATTGTACTTTGGCTCTCGTGGACTTGTTTTAATTTTTTCCAGCTTCATCTGGAACTTGCATATGAGCAACTGATGGTCTGTTCCACACTCGGCCCCTGGCCTTGTTCTGACTGATGATATTGAGCTTCTCCATCACCTCTTTCCACAGATGTAGTCGATTAGATTCCTGTGTATTCCATCTGGTGAGGTCCATGTGTATAGCTGCCATTTATGTTGTTGAAAAAACGTTTTCCCAATGAATAGGTTGTTAGTCTTGTAAAATTCTATCATGCGATCTCTGGCATATTACTAAGGCCATATTTTCCAACTACTGATCCTTCTTATTTGTTTCCAGCTTTCACATTCCAATCAACAGTAATTATCTGCAATATGCAGATGACAGAATCTTGCTTGCTGAAAGCGAAGAGGACTTGAAGCACTTACTGATGAAGATCAAAGACAACAGCCTTCAATATGATTACACTTCAACATAAAGAAAACAAAAATCCTCACGGCTGGACCAATAAACAATATCACGATAAATGAAGAGAATGTGGAAGTTGTCAAGGATTTCATTTTACTTGGATCCACGATTGACACCCATGGAAGCAGCAGTCAAGAAATCACATGATGTACTGTAGTAGGCAAATCTGCTGCAAAAGACCTCTTTAAAGTGTTCCAAAGCAAAGATGTCACTTTGAGGACTAAGGTGCACCTGACCCAAGCCATAGAATTTTTAGTTATCTCACATGCATGCGAAAGCTGGACAATGAATAAGGAAGACCTAAGAAGAACTGATGCATTTGAATCATGGTGTTGGTGAAGAATATTGAATATACCAGAAGAACAAACAAAGCTGTCTTGAAAGAAGTACAGCTAGAATGCTCCTTAGAAGCAAGGATGGAGAGACTTTGTCTCATGTACTTTGGACATGTTATCAGGAGGGTTCAGTCCCTGGAGAAGGATATCATGCTTGGTAAAGTAGAAGGTCAGTGAAAAAGAGGAAGACCCTCAATAACATGGACTGACACAGTGGCTGCAACAATGGGCTCAAACACAGCAACAATTGTGAGGATGGCACAGGACCAGGCAGTGTTTCATTTGGTTGTACACAGGGTTGCTATAAGTCGGAACCAACTCGACAGCACCTAACAACAACATACAGTTAGTGGTTCTGACTAGGAGTAATAAGTGCTTTTAAGGGTCATGTCTACCTAGCAGAATCAAGTGAATAAAGGAGGATTTGGGGACAGTTATTGATTGCAATAAGTCCATTAATTGGAGTTTTCTCCAGAAGCTCAAGCTTTGAGAGATCTTCAGTTTGCTTTCAGAGTCTGCAGGATCATCATTACCTCAACTTTATAGGGGTGAGTGTAAAAGAGAAAGAAATTGAAAAAGCAAGAAGCCCTTCCAGTGCCACTCAGCAAGCCCAAGTTTGGACCAAAACTTCACCTATGTAGCCATAAAGCATGCAACATGGGAAGGCTCGGTAGCTACAAGACCCAAGAGAACTCTTCCCACATCCTGACATGGAGGAAGAGGAGGGGAAGAAGGGTCAGGGGGAGAAAACATACCCTCAGAGCTCCCCGCACAGCATGGTCCCCTTGGAGTGGGGAGCCCCGCTCCTTCTCTTTCCCGCTGCGGCTCAGCTTTGTCCTCTGCAGCTGCTGCTTCAACTTGGTGATCTGGCAGCCCAGAGAGGAAAGAGGAGAGGCAGGTAAAGCAAAGCCAAAATTCACCAGGTCCCTCCTCACAAGTGTGGCTCCAGCCAAAAGCCCATGAAGATTACAAAAAGGAGATGGAAGCTAATCTTCCATCTCAAAATAGCTTACCCATTGCCATCGAGTCGATTCTGACTCATAGCAACCCTATACGACAGAGTAGAACTGCCCCGTAGGGTTTCCAAGGAGCGGCTGGTGGATTTGAACTGCTGACCTTTTGGTTAGCAGTCATAGCTCTTAACCACTGTGCCACCAGGGCTCCCAAAATAGCTTAGTGATGTTAAAAACAGTGATGATAGGTTCCTCAGGCAAGCTGGCTACCTTTTTAACTAAGTTATTTGATTTTTTAAATTACCATGTGTTCCATCTAGGGATCAGTTTGCAAAAAATTAAAAATGCACAACACTGAAACCATTTTGCCTTTCACAGATTCCAAAGGCATGGAATATTACTCTATTAATAGAAACGGAAAATGATGTTTCTGGATGCCAACAGCCATTTATGACTCCTCAAAGTATATTCACAACTATCTCAAGCCTGAGATCAGGAAGGATGGAAATATTTTCCCCCATTTTAAAGTAGACTACACTGAGCAAGGGGCAGGCTCTCAAGAAGGAATATTAGATTTTGTACTAGCTTCCATAAAAAAAAAAAAAAATTGCCATCGAGTTGATTCTGACTCAGGATGACCCCATGTGTGTCAGGGTTTTCAATGACTGATTTTTCAGAAGTAGATTGCTACAGCTTTCTTCTGAGGTGCCTCTGGGTGTACTCGAACCTCCAACCTTCTGTTCAGCGGCTGAATGTGTTAACTGTTTGCACCACCCAGAGATACTGACTTCCATATCCTATAACAATTATGGCTCATCATCAACAATTTTCAATATTATCCCTATCCCATTGTAATTCTGGACCTACCTGCCCTCAGCTGGCAAAGGGGGATGCTCAGGGGGTACAGAGCTATTCAAATATGGGGCTAAATTAAATGTAATTCACAGAGTAGGTCTGATGCTTCATGGCCATTGAATTTGTGACCATAGCCAAGAAGAAAGAGCTGTTAGACTGATCACTGTGAATCATTCATACCATGACCCCACCCTTAGCGCGAAAAACTTGCCTACTGTGATCATTGAAAATTTAAATACTTTGTATTTCACACTAGTCAAACTCACAGTGCATTTTTATTTTATATTTGATCATAATTCTCAGCAACAAGGAGGACGGAATCTACTCTCCCTTGTAAAGGGAGAGATGAGTCCTAGCAACTTGACCCTTTCAGGAGCCATCACACAGCATGCCAGGGTGGAGTTGGTCTGGGAGCTATGGATTCCAGCCTATGGCTTTCTCTACTCAGCTTTGAGGACTTCAGCACCGCTGAGGGAGAGGGAGGACCAGGAAAAAGGGTTTGGGAACACATAATTATGTTCTTCCTCTTTTAGAATTAAGGCTGAATGAATAGTTAAGTATAAATAAGGTTGGGGGCTTCCAGTTTCTAGGGACTCACTCCTTGACTTTCCCCAGTCTCTGAACTACTTATCTGGATCTGACCTCAAAGCAAAGTGAGAACAACCCCGTGTTTGGCTGCTGGAGGGCACTGGCAGTTGCTGGCCAAGCCCCTCGGGCAGAAGGGTCCGGGCTCCTGATGTCTGGCCACCAGGAGGCTGAGAATCGGACACAAAGGAGCCATCTCATAGGACAAGGCAAGGTTGATGAAGTGAGAGTGGAAATGTGCTTCTACTTTGGAGGAGAACGTGTCCCATGGCGCTGGGGCTTAGAGAAGAGGTGGCGACCCTAGCCAGGGAGTCAGAGGGGGCAGTCACCTCTTTTCGGTGGTCTGTGCTGCCCCAGGACGCCGAGCGCTTGTGTGTACAGGAGCTGGCCTGCTCGCCTTCCAGCTCTTGCCAAGACAGAGGGGTCTGCAGGGAGAGAAGCACGGTGAGACAGAGCAGCTTCCCAGGCAGGCACTGGGGGACCAGATACACGGCTTCCTGGGCAGAGGTGGTGGGTCTGTGAAGGCTTCTCTCTGATCTGCTCATCAACCTCCTTGGACACTGCCAGCTCGTTTTCTTCTTTTAGGCTTCCCCACCTGCACTGCCTCCTTCCCATTCTACATCCTCCAGGAAACTTGCCCTAATATCCAATAAGGCCCACCTCTTCTTTACTCTCTTATTATTTTTATACATGTTCTACGTCGTCCGTTATACCAGGTGCTCCTCAATGGTGAGGACAAGTACTGCCCATCCCTACCCCACTCACCCTAAAAAAAAAAAAAAAACAGTTGCTGTAGAGTCAATTTTGACTCATGATGACCCCATCTGTTTCAAAGTAGAACTGCGTTCCATAGGGTTTTCAAGGCTGTGATTTTCAGAAGCAAATCACCAGGCCTTTCTTCCAAGGTACCTGGGTGAGTTCTAACCACCAACATTTTGGTTTATAGTTGAGAGCTTAACATTTGTGCCACCCAGGGACTCCTTCCTTATCCCAACCAGCTCCAAAAGAGCATGGACTCAGGAATCATTACAGTTCTTTATTCTTTTACCCTCTATGTACCTAAAACAGACCTGGGTTCCTGGAGCCTAGCAGGAATGAGTTAATAGATGGGAGTCCATAAAAGAATTATTAATTGTTAAACAGGAAAAAAGATAACAAGGTTCCCCATCCTCAGTCCTTGGCCAAAGCAGGCAGCTTCCTGTTTTGTGCAATGCCTCAAGCTTGTTCTTGGATTTTCACCATACAGAGAATAAGTTTTTGGGGCCCTAAAGTCCTCCTGAACACGCAGAGGAGAAGGCATTTTCAGAAAAGTGGGAGCCAGAGTTCTGGGCCCAGCTCTGATTCCTGACCCCTGACCCCTGACCCCTCTTGGCTTTACCACTACTCCTTCTCTTGGGCCCTACTCAGCCCCTCATGAAAACAGGGCTGTCCAGTCTGATATCCTCCCTCTCACTGCTACATGGAAGACAACGAGCCCAGGATCAAGGTAGGAGGAGTTGTAGACCCACTTTCTCAGCCCCCACCAAAGAGGAGAAGCTGTTAGCTTTAAGCATGAAGCAGAGGAGGACTGCATTCCTCCCCACTGCCAATGTCCCTACTTCCATTCCAAGGGAGGGACCCAAGGGGGGACGCTCCATGGAACCAGTTCCTCTAACTTCTTTGCACAAGTTGCCAAAAACATGAGGGCCTGGGAACCGTCTCCTCCAACAGATCTATTGACCTCCCGCAAGAGATTGTTACAAACAGAAAAGGGGAGGATAAAGGAAAAAAAAAAAATACTAACAGCAACAACTCACCACCCAACAGCTGTTAAGAAGAGCTTGGCAGGGGCAGCCTGAGAAGGACTGTGAGAACAGACCCATGTGAGACAGCTGCAGTGGAGGAGCTACAAGGGGCCTGAGCCTCCCTCGCTCTTCCTTCTCCCAGATGCCCACTGATCAAGACCTTTACTGGGCTCTATGTCATAACCAGTGGAGACAACTGCCCTGACGTTGGCATCACAGGGAGACTATCCAGAGATCCACAGTTCCATCCTTTAGGAAACAGGCAGACAGCACATCCTTTAGGCCCATATCTCGGGCACATACCCCAAAGCCCTATAGGTGAATCTGCTCTGACCGTACATGGAAACCAAGCATCATGTCCATTTCCAAATGCCCATGTCCCTCAGAACCAGGGTGTTAGCAGAGAGAGCCTCAGAAGAGGCTGTTACATAGACTGAAAAGTAGGGAGGAAGCCCTTCTCTCCCATAGCCACCTTGAACCACCTCGAAGGTAGGCTCCAAAGCCAACCCCACAGACTGCAAGCTCTGCTAATCAAAGCTCTGAGTCCCACACAAGCCTGCTGTCTCTGCAAAGGTGGCAGAGGCTATAGAGGAGGGATGACAAAGGCTGAGGAGATGATGCCCATTTTCCCTCCTCCTGAAAGCTACTGTACCCACAGGTGTGTGGTGAGAGGTAGGAAAAACAGCCACACTCAGGCTGCTCCCAGTTCTACTAACATCTCTGGCAAACTCTTCAGCTGCCTTCTTTCTTCCAGGATATGCGAGGGGGTGGAAGGAAAAATGTAGGTTCACACAAGCACTTAGAAAGGATGTGAAAACCATGGCAGCTACGATCATCGCCTCTCTTTATCTATTTTACCCTGCCTCTCTCTGCTCAGCAACATCTTCCAGCAACTGTTGCCTACTCTGTGTAAACTGTACTACTAAGGCCATCTCTTCTCTGTTTCAACACCCACCATCTGGCCATAAATATCACCATGTTACCCTTCATCTCCCAGGCTTTCCATACTTAGCTGGCTCTCTGTGCTATCCAGGCAAGCCTATCTCCACTTCCTTTTTCTTATCTTACCCCCTCACTTCTAAGCCTTCTGCAGGCTGATCTCTCTATCTAAGATGCCCTACTCCACCAATGCTTCCCATTGAGGAGTATGGCGGGAGCAGGGTGAGTGAGGTGCAGAGTGGTAAGAGATGAGGTCAGCAGGTGTGGTAGATTGAAAATGGACCCCAAAGATATCAGGGCCTAATCCCTAAAACCTATAAATGTTACCTTATATGGTAAAGCTTTTGCAGATATGACTAAATTATGGCTTTTGAGATGAGGAGCCCTAAATGCTATCACGAGTGTCCTTATTAGAGAGAGGCATAGGAAGATTAGATACACACAGGAAAAGGCACTGTGACCACAGAGGCAGAGATTGGAGTGATGCCGCCACAAGCCAAGAACGCCAGCAGCCACTAGAAGCTGGAAGAGGCAAAGAACAGATTCTCCCCTAGAACCTCTGGAGCGAGTGAGGCCCTGCTGACACCTTGATCTCGGTCCAGTGAAACTGAATTGGGCCTTCTGGAATCCAGAACTCTGAGAGAATAAATTTCTGTTGGTTTAAGCCACTAAGTTTGCTGAAAGTGAAGAGGACTTGAAGAACTTACTGATGAAGATAAGATCAAAGACTGCAGCCTTCAGTATGGATTACACATCAACATAAAGAAAAAAAAAGTCCTCACAACTGGACCGATAAGCAACATCATGATAAATGGAGAAAATATTAAAGTTGTCAAGGACTTCATTTTACTTGGATCCACAATCAATGCCCATGGAAGCAGCAATCAAGAAATCAAGTGTTGTGTTGCAGTGAGCAAATCTGCTGCAAAAGACCTCTTTAAAGTGTTCCAAAGCAAAAATGTCACTTTGAGGACTAAGGTGCGCCTGACCCAAGCCATGGTATTTGCAATCATCTCATATGCATGTGAAAGTTGGACAGTGAATAAGGAAGACCTGAGAAGAATTGATACATCTGAATTATGTGATGGTGAAGAACATCGAATATACCATGGACTGCCAGAAGAATGAACAAATCTGTGTTGGAAGATGTACGGCCAGAACGCGCTTAGAAGCAAGGATGGAGAGACTTTGACTCCAGTACTTTGGACACGTTATCAGGAGGGATCAGTCCCTGGAGAAGGACATCATGCTTGGTAAAACAGAGGGTCAGCAAAAAAGAGGAATACCATCAATGAGATGGTCTGACACAGTGGTTGCAACAATGGGCTCAAACATAGCAACGATTATAGGGATGGCACAGGACCAGCAGTGTTTCGTTCTGTTGTGTGTGGGAATGCTATGAGTCGGAACCAACTCAATGCCACCTAACAACAACAAGTTCAAGGTAATTTGTTACAGCAGCCTTGGGAATCTGATACAGTAGGCTGTCTTGTATGTGAACCTGTTTACATGCTGGCATTGAGGACTCCTAAGGGAGGCATGTATATGAGTGTGGGTTTCTAGTCTCTCCAACTGAACTGGGGGTGTCAAGATGACCATGCTCTGCTCTTCATTTCCAGTATCTTCTCTGGGTCTCACCACGGAGATCTGGACCAAGGTTTTCTGGGAGTACAGGAAAGTTGGAGCTAAGGAAGGATGACTTCAAAGGGCCACCCTTCAGGCCACAATAAGGGTCAAGCCATGCTGCCTGACAGTATTGTAAGTAATCATTCCAAATGACCCTTTGGAAGCAGGGTCGAGCTCAAGCTCAGCAGACCAATTGGTCAGGTTTGTAAAGGGACTCACGCACTGGAGCAGACTTATTTTAATCCCTTGGCCCAGGGGGAGCAGCTGAGGGAGAAGTAGGGCTGCTTACTAACCATGAGTGGTGTTAGCCAACTGTACAAATGATGCTCAGATTATGCAAAACTGGATGTGGGTTAGACCAAGGGAGGCTTGCCTGGGATTCTGAGCTTTCAGAACAACTTGTGGAAGGATAATGGGGTGGGGGGAGGGCAGCTTCCCAAAGAACAGCCGAGTATAACAAGGAGGCAGAGGCAGGATAGAGCAGAAAACCCGGCAAACTGGAACCTTCTTCTGGGCACCCAACCCAACTCAGTTTCTACTTGGATATTGTGACTGGAGGCAGGAGGTGTCCTGGCCCACGCAGTCTCCAGGGACCCTGGCAGCTGAGGAGGCTGCACAGCAGAGCCCGGCTGGGTCTTGGGAATGGAACCCATTATACCTGTGCGGAAGTTGAGCGCAGCATGGTGCCTGGCATGCTACAGATGGCCAGGAACTACGTGTGGAATTCAAGTCCTGCAGGGAATCAGCCCCTCGGGACTCTGGACAAACAGAAAGGCAGGAAAAGGCTCCGAAGGTGGTCTGCTGGCCAGCGCTGAGAACTCTGGCTGCAGGTGGCCAAGGCCACCATCTCTGGCCCTACAGTAACTATACAACCCTCAGATTTTCCACCAAGGCCCCATTTTCAGTCTGTGACGCTGTCCAATCATATGCCGAACAACTGGTCCTGATGTCCAGGTTGGAAAACAGGTGCTGTGCCCAGGTCCCCACACCCACACAGGAAAACATTTTTAAAAGGCCCGTGATGGTTAGATTGAATTATGTCATCACTGCATGCTGAGGCACTGACTTGGGAAAAGGAACAGGCCAGCACACAGGTAGGGAAAAGATGGAAAAAGAGAAGTCTTCTCAAAGCAGGCCCACCTCTGCCTCTGGCCTTTATGACATTCCATGATGTTTGCTAAGGACTTAAGCGATTTTTCCCCCCAAATCGTTAAGTCAGGCCTAAAGAAAAAAAGTCTATCATAGAGGACTCCCTAGCTCACCTGGAGAGGGCAGAGGAAACAGGGCTGGCCAGGGCAGGTACCCAAGGCCCCGTATGGCTGCAGGATGCAAAGACCAGCAAAAGATCTCTGCTCAAACAGTCATTCCAGCTGTGGTGAGGCCACTTCCTCCAGAAAACAGCAAGATGATGCAAATGCTTTGCACAGCAAGAAGGGAGGGGGTGGCCACAACCGTCAGCATGTGCTGCCACCACCCGCCCTGGCCTGGGCCAGCCCAAAGCACTGGGCAGGCAGCTCTGTTTTATCAACTGACCTCAGGGGAGAGTGGCCCAGTGAGATGAAAACACATGCAGATTGGCCTTGAGAATCCTGACAAAGTTCTCCAAACACAAAGAAACCTCCTCCAGACGATGGTTATTCTGGACTCCATTCTGCATCCAACTCCTGCTAGACCCAAGCTCTAAGCTCACTGAGCTGATCTCTGGGAGTCCCTGGTCCTCCCTCTCCCGTTGCTAACCCTGGCTCACAACATCCAGCATCTCCAGAGCACTCCTTCTCCAACGACCACATTCATAACTCCCCCTCCTTCCTAGAACAACCTGGGCCACTTCTTAGGCTAATTCCTCCAATTTTCCAAATAAGATCCATCCACACCTCTCTTCTTCACCTGCCCCAAATATGTGGGTAACCCAGCTCTCCATGCCAGACTATAAAGTACCTGAGGACTAGCTGTACTATCCTTTGTACCTGCCTAAGAGCTTAATGCACAGCTAAGCCCAGGAAGAGAATACTGGGCTTGCTGGCAACTTGACATATTCAGGAACAGACAGCTTTTAGCTCCATCCTCTGCCCTGTGAGAAAGTCTTGAATACACAGCATGCACAGCATGCTTAATGCAAGTCTTCAATCAGGGCTTGCTGCTCAGGTTTAAAACTCACTCAGAATGGGCAGGGCCCTTGCCTATTCCAGAGGGTTCAGAGAGGGGAGTCATTCAGCCTAAACCATAACCATGGCTGATCTCACTGCAAGGCATACCCCTCAGGGATGCCAGGGCTGATGTGGCCTCCAAATATACAATCTGGCTACTTCCTCCAGGGCCAGGTTGGGGAGAGTAAGCAAGCAGAAGTGAGAGCCCTGCCAGTTATGATGGATATAGCAGAAATAAACTGTTACACTGGTATGGCTAGAAGAGAAAGGGCAGACAGTGGGGGTATTGGTAGAAACAGCCACACTCTAGCTCAAACCAACTGGAGAAAGCTTCTGGCATCAACCCATTTAATAGCTTAAAGCTTTTAAGGACTTTGGTAGATCCTACCTTCCTACCTTCCCTCTACCCTCGTATCCCACACTCCCAATAAAACCTGCCCCTTGTCTACAGTACTTTCTGAGTGATATACTAGGGCTTGGTAGTGATGGAACACCAATTACTTTGGGAGAGGTAGGGAGAGTCTCAGGCATTCACGGTGTAATGCCAGCGTAAAAGAAGATAGCTTGTGCCAGACCAGGGGGCTCAAGGAGGAATTTGAATGAAGCCCAAAACCTAGAACCAGAAAATTCCCAGAAGGCCAGGAATGAAAGATGGGCAGAGTGCATATTTTGGTTTGGATGCCTACGTGGATCAGAATTCTCCCACTTCCCAACTGCGGCCACAATATTGACAGGTTGCTAAGAGTTCCTCGAGGGCTGGAGCCCATCCCGGGGAAAGAGGAAAGCTGTATGGCTTGGCCTTGCCAGACCCATGGAGGAGCATCACTGACCTCTGTCTTGCTATGGCAAGAAGCCCAGACTTGTTATATAAGAGATCTGGCCTGCAGCTGGCGCCTGAGCAAAAACGCACAGCCTAGAGCCCATGCCTTTAAACCCAGTCAGGGAATCTCAGAGGCCAGCTCTGCCTGGAGTTGAAAAGAGGAAGAGCTATCTGAGGAGGGGGATGAAGGCTTCCTAGAAAGTTGGTCACAGGAAATGACAGAGACTGGGATAGGTGGGCTACATGCAAACCTGACAAAGGGGGATACAGACATGAGCTTACATGAGCAAAGCATCATCAAGTCCTGTTCCTCCAGGAAGTCCTCCATGTTTGGACAGAGCCAACATTGTTTGGACTGAGCACTCCTCTCAAAAGAGAAAGGAGTGTACTCTGGGCTTGGGAAGGGGAAGCATAACCTATCCTACTTGCCCTTTTCAAAGCATATGGGGAACACCAGTGCCCTGGGCTCCCAGGAAGCAGGCCTACTCTGTCTGCTACCTAGAGTGTATTCTCCCTTCACATTCTATTTGCAGATATAAAGAGGGCCAGCGATTTTAATGGCAGCCAATTCTTGTTGGTTCTAGGTGGGGTATTCCCATGAGAATTCTCCTCTAAACTGTGCCAGACTTCTGGCCCCATCTGATCCCTTGGCTGTTGTTCAGTGGCCTTCATGGAACTGGAACCAGCTCACAGCGGCCAAAGGCTGTCCTCATTTCCTTATGCTTCACTCCAGCATGCAAAGAACAGTGCTGGGTATTCAAACATTCAGTAATAACATTTGAAAATAATCTCATAAAAGATAAATAAAAGGAACCGACATGATCTACTCAGAGAGGAGGTCAAACCAAACAAGCTGTGCAGAGCCCCTTTCCACATGTAATGTCATTTGGTTGCCATGCCACCTCCCAGCAGGCAGAGCAGGCACACTCCACCCACTTTGTAAAGGAAGGACTGACATGCCCAGTATCACTCAGAACGAAGGTCTGACTCTGAACCTGTGTTCTTTCCACACTCAGTTTCCTCTTATCTGGCATGGCAGGTGGGAACAACTCATTTGTTCTGAAGTTAAATAGGAATGGGTTAAACTGTGGCAAAAAGAGACAAATTGACTCTTAAAAACTTAACTGCTGAGAATGTTGAAGTCCTGGTCAGATTAAGAAATATCTTTGTTTAATTTCATGTATGTATGAGATGATTTCTTGCTCAAGCTATGCTATCTCACCCCAAAACTGACAAATGTACCGGATGATGTGTGGCAGTTCCTTCCAAGTTCAGGATTCTTAATGAAAAGACTGGAAGAAAAATACTGAAGGAGAGGAACCTGGGCTCCACAGGACCCAAATGAGTCTGCTGAAATCCCAGACAACCACCTGTCACCCCTTGGGCTGCTGGCTGGGGGGTCAACGCACCACTATCTAAGAATCTTTCACTCCTATTGCTCTAAGAGGACTCTATCCTGGCTCAGCACAGTTGGGCCACTTCTAGTTGTCCAGGGAATGCAAACTCAATTGAATATTGGCCCCAGTTTAATTTTAGCAAGATATATCTCATTTTTAAAAACCTAGAATAAATGTCAATCAACCTTCAATTATCCATACACGAATACTCAAAGCCAAACTGAAAAACCCAGGTTGACTTCTCTTGCCCATCAGTCAGGGAGGATGCAAACTCATCTTCATGTAAGTTTACCAAGAAAAACAAGCTGGTAAATGTGAAATGATAAAAGGTTACGAGATGAGTATTTTCCAGGGCAAATCATTTCAATGATGGAGAGCCGGTAAGTAGACCAAAGGCCTTCTCAGCTAGCCCTCCCTCCCCATCCTTATCCCTTTATCCCAATAGCAGAGAGCTTTGTTACCTGGGTGGCCTTGTCATTGGTACAGCAGGTGAAGGCCCCATCAGCATCACGTGGCCACTGGCCAAGAAGGTAGGAGCTGAGGATGGTGTCCAGAGAGAATGTACGTCGGACCTGGGGTGGCTGAGGCCTACACACTGACTTTTCTGGGGCCACCGAACACGGGACGCTGGCTGGAAGAGAGCACAGCCCGCACACCTTGACGTCAGCATGGAAGGAGGAGGCGTGGCAATCAACCTTCTCTCTTCTAGGAAGCCTCGCTTGACTGTCTCATACTCACTTGCAGCCACCTCCCTTCTAAGAGACTCAAGAGACTCACAAAAGCACACGTGATCTGACAGCTTTCCTGACTTAACTACCTAGGCTCTATCACTGGAAACAACTGACACATTTACTCTGGACTTAGCTATTGTTTTATAAATATCCTCTAACTTTTTCCTGATCCTAGCGGACTATGAACTATGAACTCATAGGTCTCCATGCTGAGTTTCCTGAGAGCAGGACTGTTTCCTATCATTAAAGAGGAAACCCAGAGTGGACAAAGACCAAGTTTCCTTTCATCTTTTATCTCCTGACCTTCTTCCTGCCCCAGCATCCATTGCAGGCCTCGTATATGCTACACAAATTCAACCCAGGTAACTGAAGGATGCTCACGCTTCCTTCAGGACTGGTTAGTTTCAGGAACCTAGGTGGCTGAGACTAAGAACAATATAACTACTTTCAATTTTCCAGGATCGTGGTATCCAGTTTAGAAAAATATCCTAGTGTTTTGATTTTCTCCTTGCCTCTGACTTCTATGTGGGATAAAAATAAAGCAATCATAAATCCACTCATTTTTATTTTTACCTTGGTTAAAGCTTTTAGAGCAAAGGTAAAAGTTAAAGCTGTTGATAAAATGTAAGGGTTTTTGATCATCTGTAAGTTTCAATCATCCGGGTTGATCCTATTTTCCATGGCCACATTCAAAATACTGTATTAGGATTTATAGACACTCTTTCCTTTAAACAGAATAAAATGCTTTCACCTTTGGTAATCCCTTGATATTTCATGTGTGCATTAAGCACAGCAAAAAGAGCCGGGGATTGTAGATATAAATAAACTTGAAGAGCTTTGTACTAAAAAGGCACTAACAGCACTGTCTGCATTCTCCAAATTCATTTAGTATTTATATACATCTTGACATGGTTGTAATCAATATGAAATGTACTATATTATGTTCTGCTTTGTTCTACCCATCTCCTCTACCCATTTCCAGTCGACATCTACATATTCGTCATTTTAACAACTACGTGATATTCTACCACATTGATATACAGTAGTTTGCTTAGCCATTCCCATATTGTTGGATATTTGAGGAGTTTCTCTCCCCTCTCCCAATCTGAATATCATAAATGTCACTGCATGGCCAACTTTTACTCTCAGTTTTATCTAATCACTAACATATTTCTAGGTCATCTACCTTAGCCATCATATATGTTCATTTAAAACACATTAAAAATGTCTTCTAATTACAAAAGCATTAAGTATGAATGTAGAAAAGTCAGAAAACTTACATAAACAAAATTTCAAATCTCAACAACCCAACCACCTTTAAAACTATGATACACAGTTGGTCTTCCGTATCTGTAGGTTCCGCATCCACGGATTCAACCAACTGTGGATCAAATATATATATAAATAAAATAGTATGTATGTATATACATATCATAGTTATATGTGTGTATAGATATATATAGATATATATAGATATAGATAGATATAGATATATATATAGATATAATAGTTAAGGAGCCCTGGTGGCACAGTGGTTAAGAGCTCACCTGCTAACTAAAAGGTCAGCAGTTAGAATCCACCAGCCGCTCTTTGGAAACCCTATGGGGCAATTCTACTCTGTCCTATAGGTCACAACGAGTTGGAATCCACGCGACAGCAACGTGTTTTTTTTTTTTATCATAGGTAATATCATGATATATATGCATATATCATATCTCCTTGTAGGTCTTACTTTCTGCATGCATGTATGTGCTTTAAAGTAAAAATGGGATCATACTGTGCGTACTGTTTTGCAATGTTCTCACTTTATATTATAAGCATCTTTCCAAATCAATAAGTATTGACCTACAACACATTACTTTAATTGATCTTGACATTTCTACATTCAAAACTCTTCAAAGGCTCTCTTTCAAAGATGGTGGTCAACTACCACCGCTGACTGCTCTGACCAGGATCACAACAGAGGGTTCTGGACAGAGCTGGAGAAGGATGTAGAACAAAATTCTAACTCACACAAAAAAAGACCAGATTTACTGGCCTAAGGGAGACTGGAGAAACCGCGAGAGTATGGCCCCCAGACACCCTTTTAGCTCAGTGGTGAAGTCATCTCCAAGGTTCACCGTTCAGCCTGGGAGTGGACAGCCCCATAAAACCAAATGGGACTAATGAGGTACAGCAGTACAGGGACAAGGGCCAGAAGGCAGAAGGGGACAGGAAAGCTGGTGATAGGTAACCCAAGGTTGAGTAAGGATAGTGTTGATGTATTGTGAGGTTGTTAACCATTGTCATAGGGCAACATGTGCACTGTTAAATGAGAAACTATTTTGTTCTGTAAGCTTTCATCTAAAGTGAGAATAGCAGCACAATTGGAAGAGCGTAGTCAATGTCACTGAACTGTGCATGTAGAAATTTTTGAAATGGTGTATCTATGGCTATGTGTATTTTCACCAAAAAAAAAAAAAGGTCGAGAAGGGAGAGGGTTGACATGTTGTGGGGTTGTTAACCAATGTCATAAAACAATATGTGTACTACTGTTTCATGAGAAACTATTCGTTCTGTAAGCCTTCACCTGAAGTACCATTAAAAAAAAAAAAAAACAAAGATGGTGGTCAAAGTCCTCATAGATCTGCTCATGATCTACCTTCACTTTACACTTTACTCCTCAGGGACTCTATATCCTGGACAAACTTGATGATAGCCATTCCCACCCACGCCCCAGGCCTTCGCATGTCTGAGGTTCTGCACATGTATCCGGGGTTGAAACCAATCCATCAGTCAGGACCAGCCTAACTGCCTCTGCCTCCAAGAAGCCTTCCAGACCCCTGACAGGAATGTCTCAGAATTTTCTGAGTTTCCTCAGTACTTTGTACTCTTCTAGTACTTACCGCCCTCTCTCTTGGATTACAGGTTTTTGTAACTCCTAGATAATAAACAACCTGAGGCCAAGGACTGTCTTTGATTTATCTTTGTATCTCCCACAGGGTCTAGAGCATAGCTCTGGCAATTGGTAGGCACCCAAATATTTGAATACAGTTGAAAAACTGTACTAGAAAGGTAGGTCTGCCTTAGTTATACCATGTGTTCTGGGGTTGTCTACTTAGTTATCCATGTTCTACTCACTCCTTTTGAGTATAAAGATCCCATATATACATATATATATACACACACATATATATATATATATATATACACACACATGTATTTTCTTCTCTCTGAGTCTCAGGAAGGCCCAACTCCTTTCTTACCCTCCCTGCACCTTGTTGCCCAGTAAGTTAGTGACAGGAATACTGGGATCAAGCCCCGATTTTATTTCTTACACCAGCATTTCAACCACTAATTTTCCTATCCTGGATTTAAGATCAAAAGGTAGCAACCTGGATATTTCTGGGAGCTTCTGACCCATTTTGCAGCCATGACAGACACCAAAATGCTGTCACATGACCCTCCAAAATTGTCGATAAGAGCCCACTGATGAGGCAGGGACCCTGGAAAGCAAATTTACAAAAGTAACATGACATTGCCAAAGCGGCAGATGGGAAGCAGATGAGCAAGACTGGCATACCGGCTAAAACACCACGATCCTACAGGCAGCGTCGTCATTGTTTAGGAGGAAGATGACTATGACTCCAGGGCTGAGAAATCAGCGAACGGGAGAAACGTTTCTTGGTACAGCCTTTCCCATCCCCTCAGCAGAAGTCACTGCAACAATCTCCTTTAGATTTTTTTCCTTACTGGGACTCTTAAGTACTATCTTGTCTATAGGGAGTCCCTAGGTGGTGCAAACAGTTAACGTGCTCGGCTGCTAAACCAAAATGGTGGAGGTTCCAGTCCACCCAGAGGCACCTCCAAAGAAAGTCTGGTGATCTACTTCTGAAAAATCAGCACAGTTCTACTCTGACGCGCACGGGGTAGCCACTTGTCAGCAACTGGTTTTTTGTGTTTATATAGTACTTTCAAGCTTTGCTCCACACCCACAAGTTACTTTCATGTGTAAAATCTCTTTTGACTCTCCTGTCAGCTATAAAAAAGGGGCTAGGAAAGGAATGCCACATGTTATAGGCAAGGAAACTAAGACACAAAGAAGTTCAGTCTTTGGACTCAGTCACCCAGTAAGTCAGCGGCAGTCCGACATCTAAATCCAAGCTTCCTTCCTCCTCCATCAGTCTTCTTTCAACTATTCACTGAGGCTCCTATCCCTCTTACATCAGGAACATCCCCTAGCTTGCTGGGACACTTGCCTAGACACCTGGAGGGTGGATGGCTCTTTTAGCTCCTTCCCAGGGAAGGAAAGGAAGAGAGGAAATAGAGGCCTGACCCCCTGGTGCTCTGTGCTGGGTGTACTTGTCATTATGCAATAACTGTTTTTTTGAAACCTGGGGAAAAGGATTCTGCTATCTCCTAGGGACAATTTCAGTCACACTAATTTTATATTAGTCCTCGTTACCCTTCACACATCACCTCATTCAATGAATATAATAGGAGTCCAGTCTCAGGGGCAGTATTTGTAGGTGGTGTCTTACTCCCAGTACTCACAGAATCCTGGAATTTGGTCAGTTCTACATTTTGTCCAGCCACCTCTGACCAAAGCAATTCAAAGATTTGAGGACTTCATGGGTCCTGATTTGCTTCCCCATATACAAAAAATAACACAAATAGTGAAAGAGAGGGAGGAAGGAAGGAAGGAAGGAAGAGAGAATCCAAGATAACTCCAATCCAGAATCACGGGCCCCAGATGGACCTGCAAGGATCTCACTGCATCTAAGTCGAACTGGAGGATTTGCCTCGGTTTCTTTTCCTTAAATGAGGAGACAGCTAGGCCTCAACCTTATGACAGTGACCACATCCTAGCGCAGGTGCTAGCACAGCTTCTAGCTAGACACAAAATGACAGAATTACCTTC